TGGTGGTGGTGGTGGTGGTTACAGATTAGGATTGAAAGTGATATTTCCCCACGTGATGCTTCACTGGATTTGCGAGCACGTGACTGCACTTCTCCACTCACTCATCACTATGTCAATAGATGACTGCAATCCGCGTGATTCTGGTGCAAGTAATTATTAATTTCTAGTTGACAACACCAAGCATGAAGCCTCAAGTTATTGCATTTGGATCACCAAGCACTCTGAACCACACCAAATCCTCGCAAAACGCCTTCCCGACTATCAAGCTATTGTACGCCGTATTCTGGACGACCTTCATCCCCTCTGCTGTTGGCATCAATTTCCAGTGCTGCCGAAGCGAGAAATATTTTGTAGTCCAGACGAAACCCCACATTTATTGCACAACTGGCAACTTATCGTTTCATATTATTTTAATTGTTACGTGAATTGCGCATCGACTTGCACCACTAACATGCATGTGAAGGGCAGGCGGACCTGGGTAAATGCGAAAACGCTGCACACGCAACTTCACCTCCAATGAACGTATGAATAATTGACATTTCCAAACAATCTACACCAGAATGAGGAGCCTAGCAATGTGTAGTAAGTTGGTGCAGACAAATGAATGCAGAGGATGTGGTCCACTGCCCCCGTGTCGTGCTTGTAGCACCGCACCACTTTCGGCAAGAAGAAGTGAAGACCAGACTAGGAGAGAATACGGATTGTCGACGTGCAGAAGGGCTGGTGGCTACTGCTGTGGCACAGAGGTCAGGTCACCAGGAGAAGGTGCAGTGGGGGAGGGCCCAAGTGGTCCGTTGCCTAAGCGGAGAGGTAAACAAAGGAATACAGCGTTAAGGCACTATTAAATATCAACCAACTCAATAAGTACCCACTGCATTCATAGATGCTCAATGCAAGGTTCTAGTAGCGCCCCTAATTCCAAACATGCCTTTGTGATGCGCTGTGTGCTGTCACCCGTGGTGACCTCCCAATTGTCCTTTTGTATCAGTATATATGTGTTGCTTGTGTGAACAGGATCATACAGG